TGTCTTTGCATCCCTAGTAGCACGGCTGCTCTATGCCCAGTTGGCACTGGGGAGTGAGGACTCGAAATGGCTTCTCTGTCTGATAAACATAAGATTTGCTGTCTCGGGCTTTCTCTCTCTTTCCATTGTCCATGTATATGTGTGCGTGCACATTTCCAGACGTGTGCGGCCACACCTGTGCGCAGGCGCTTGTGCACACATGTGCCTGAGCGTGTAGAGGCTCAAGGATGATTTGGGGCTCGTCCTCCATTCCTTTCTCCCTTCATTCATGGAGGCAATGTCTCCCAGTCAAACTTGGGGCTGGTTTTGCCAGCCAGCTTGCTTGGGGCATCATGTCTTCGCTCTTTGTGTGGAATTTTGAGTTACAGGCAGGATGACATGCCCACCTGGCAGTTACATGGGTTTCTGAGGCTCTGAACTCAGGGCTTCACAGTTGCACAGTAAATACTTCTACTGCTGAGCCATCTCCCCATCACCTTAACCGTTCTTGAGTGGTGTCCTAGTAACTGTTCCGTTGCTGTGAAGAGGCACCATGACCAAGGCAGCTCTTCACCCCCCATCACAGGGGGGTGTAGTCCTGGCTGGCCTAGAACTCTGTAGACCAGGCTGGCCTTGAACTCACAGATACCCACCAGTTTCTGCCTCCTGGGTACTGTGATTAAAGGTGTGCACCACCACCACCTGACTCAAGGCAGCTTTTATAAAAGGAGAGGCTTAATTAGGGGCTTGCATGCAATTTTGGAAGGTTAGTCTATTGTCATCAGGATGGGGAGCGTGGAGGGAGGCACAGCACTGGAGCAGTAGCTAAGATCTACATCCTGATCTGCAAGCTGAGAAAGAGACTCTGGGCGTGGCACGGGCTTCCCCCAGTGACACACCTCCTCCAGCACCTCCCAGCCCTTCTAATCCTTTCAAATAGTGCTACTCCCTGGTGACCAGGCATTCAAATATATAAGCCTGTAGGGGCCATTCTTACTCACGCCACCACAAATGAACAGTGCAGTCGCAGTGAGTGGATTACGTCATCACTGTTTCCTTCAAGGATCTTCTTTCCAAACTGCAACTCTACCATTCACAACCTCTCTCCTTTCTGGGCTCCTCCAGGCCACGGCAAGTACCGTTCTCCTTTCTGCCTCTATGAGTTTTATGACTAGATACCTTATGTAAATGGAATCTGATTTCGCATGGCCCAGCATCCATGCTGAAATATGTCTCAGAATTTCCTCTTTTAAAAAGCTGAGTGATAACTCCATTGTGAGTCAGTTTCTTTACCTGCTCCTCTCTCAAGGGACATTTTTTCCCCCAAGGGACATTTTGATTGCTCCTAACTGTGTTGTAAGTGATGGCACTGTGAATGTGTGAAAATATGAGGTTGGCCTTCAGGAGGCTCTTTTGTATGTGTGCGTGTGTGTCTTCGGGTGCTCATGTGTATTGTGCGCTTGTATACATGTGTGTGTAGGTCTGAGAATAACTTCAGGTGTCATTTCCTAAGTGCCTTTCTGCTGTTTATTTGAGAGGCAATCTCTTCTTGGCTGGAACTCACCAAGTAGGCTAGGCAGGCTGGCCTGTGGGTGCCAGGGATCTGCGAGCCTCTGCCTCCTCACTTAGGACCACTGGCTTTTCATCTGTCGCCATGCCATCTTTTTACTTGGATTCTGGGGCCTTCATTAAGATCCTTTTGATTGAAAGGCAAATAGTTTACCAATCTAGCAATCTCTCCAGCCCTTCCAGTGGCTGTTGAGCCAGGACATAAGGCTTTGGTTCTCCTCTCACTGACACAAACCAAGAGTCTCTGGGGCCAGTCACAAGTCACTGATTCACAGCCCCTCTACCTGTCAGCCAAGGGAAGGCCTTCTACTGCTTACATCTTGCCCTATATATTGCCCTTTATATTCTGGCCTGGAGCACTCAGCCGCTGGCTTTTACTTCCTCACAGGTGGGATTGGGCGTGGAGTGGCCCTTTGGTCTCAGTTCAGAATCGGCACTGTGGAGTATCCCCAGCAGTCCTGAAGGCCTGTGTGTACAGAAACCTATCGCTGTGAGCAGCCATGAGTTTGACCCTCAGACAGGGAGAGCTCAGCATTTGGGGGGCTGTGCACTGAGTGGGCAGGCCAGACTGGCTGGCTGCCCAGCATTCACCTTCCTGGGAGGCTGCCACTGCTACAGTGATGGAAGGAAAAGAAAGCGTAAAAGCCAGAAAACATGATGGTTCTTACAGAGTAGAATGGAAAGCAGCCTGCCTGACTCCACAGTAGCCCTGCCAGGCACGCACGTCACTGTGCGTTTTTGACAGAAACAAGCCACACTGATTTATAACATGTCAGCGCATGTCACAGCCATCAACAGTCGTGCTTGTTAAAAGAGAAAACTTTGGAGGAGCTTGAAAACACGCTCAGGAGGAAGGTGGGAGGTTGCACAAACATTTCCAGGAAGGAGCAGAGGCAAAGGCTGCTAGACAAAACTGATTTTCAAGTAAGGACTGGTTTGAAAATTTTAAGACATGTTTTTCTTGGCACATGGCAGCGTTCACAGACACAATGAGGCCAGCTGCCTGACTCCTGGCAGACAGGATTCCTCCCAAGTTCCAGAACCGTGTGGAGATGCAGAGGCGCAGGCCTGGCTGAGGACATTCCCAGCAAGGGACACCACCCTTTTCTTGGGGAGGGCTAAGTCTCATGAAAGAGGCAGAGAATAGGCAGAAAAGATGGACAAAGGAAACCTCCAAGAGCTGATGAAGAAGGGCAAAGGAGGACCACGAGATGGCCTAGAAGATAAAGCTGCTTGCTGCCATAGGAGCCGACATGGTGGAAAGAGAACCAACTTCTGTACAGGTTCTCTGTGTGTGCACACATGCACGCACGCACACTAAATAAGCACAATTTTTTTAAAGGAAAATGAGATTCAGGCAGTGGTGAAGTAGGAGAAAAAGGGTGTACACTGGGTTCCACACAGCCACAGTGGAGTTCTGCAGTGCACCAGGTTGACAGTACGGCTAACAGCCATGTGGGCTGCAAACTTCCCCTCCTGCCAATTCCGAGAAACATGTCCCTGCTGGCACCGTGCCAGGAAACAACAACTATTTTCAAAGAAAAGAAGGACTCTCAGGATAGCTAACTTTGTTCAGGATTCGAAATGAAAACAAATGAAGAGAGACAAGTGGCAATAAAAATGAGAATAAAAAGGAAGGGGTAAAAGCAGACACCCACACAGATAAAGTAGTGTTTTTCCAAACAGGTAAATGGGAGACCTTGATGAGCTGTATTTCGGGGAAAGTACAAATGTAATACTTGTGGTTGGTAGTAATGATGGGGCAGTGGTCCGTAAAGGCCGCGGCATTCAGGAGCTCCAGGTCAGGGGCCTTTAGGTTGGGGTTAGCCTTTACCACCATCAGCTCGTCCTCTGTCAGGAAATGAGGCAATAACATGTTTGTAAGGGTAGCATGCCTCCTTTCCAAAACCAGACATCTGCCCTGCTGGATAGCTCAGTGTGGGTGCTGCTTCCTGACAACGCACATAGAAGGCCCATGAAAAGAAGGCTAAGGATGGTGGTTCACACCTGTGGTCTTAGCGCTTGGAAGGCTGCCGTGGGAGGGTCTCAAGTTCATAGCCAGCCTGGGCTACAGGAAGCTATTTCAAACAGACTAAACAGGAAGACAGGGAGAAAAATGAGATGGGAGAGAGCCATCGTCCCCACTCGTCTGGCCTGCTCTTTATGTCTCTACACGCAATAAAGAGGTCTTTTGCATGGTTAGGGTTTTTGCTGCAAATCAATAAAGTGAGGCAAATAAAAAGGTTTAAATAATTTTTTAATGAGACAAATAGATAAATCATGAAGGTTCACAATCTGGGTTTGTAAAGGTTCCAGTTAGAGTGCCAGACTTACCTCTGTGTTAAGTGAAAAGTGGTTGCCATACAAGCAATGAGGACCAGGTGCCCAGACCCCAAATAAAGTAGAAATGGCAGTGGGCATCTATCACCCTAGTTCTTCTACAGCAAGATGGGAGGAAACAGAATCCCTGGAAGCCAGTGGAGCAGGCGAGCTTGGCGTATGCATCAGTGAACAAGAGGCCCTGCCTCAACAAGCTCGAAGGTTGAGGCCAACACGTGAGGTTGACCCTGACCTCCACGTTTGTGCTGTGGGTACCTGAGGGTCCACGCATGTACACGTTGCCAGCTGGGATACCCAGAAAGGCCTCTGGACAGCACAGGGCTTCCATCACCTTGAAGAGGGGTAGCCGAGGTTTCTGAGCTTGATTGGCTCTCGTCAGCGCCTGCACCTACTCTCTCCCAGCGAGAAAGCAGGTCCTTAGGGCTACCGTCCTCAGAGAAGCTGCTTTGGCCTGCAGAATTCAGAATTCTAAAAACAAGAGCCGTCTAGGCTTAGCACAGACATTCTAGGTGTGAATGGAATTGGTTCACACTCATTTCACGACATTTGTTCTGAGGCACGCTCTGGAGTTCGGACCCCTGGCTGCCATTCCTAAGAGTCTTCTGGGATTTCTAGCTCGAGAAGGTGTAGGGCTGACCTCTTCCCTTTACCTCCACTTAGGGCTGACTTCTTCCCCCAGGAAGCACGTGGCTTCCTAGAATGTGTATCACAGTATTAGATTAGGGTGTTAGAAGAGCAAGAGAGGTGAAGCTATATGGATAGATAAGCTTTTAGCCTGAGGATCTGGGCACATGGGGATGGCTCCTGTGCACTGAGACAAAATGGGGGGCCTGTTACGGATAGGATCTCTTTGGGCAGATGGGGCGACTTTGGCCCTGCACCTCTCTTTTGAACAGATTAGAAATTAAACGCTTCTTTTGGGTTCCAACAGAGCACAGGACATAGCATTCCCCACGTCACACGTCACACGCTCAGAGGTCACGCCAAATGGCAGAGGACTAGTGGGCAGCAATGGCGAATGTTGAGAACAGCCCTTTCACAGCTCGGGGGAAACCGCCGGGCGGACGGGCTAGTGGAGTCTGCTGCTCTCATGGCCTCTGTCTTTTCTGCAGGTCATCACAGCCGGCCTGTCGCTGGTGCTGTTCGACGTCACCCTGACCAGAGCAACTGTAGGATGGTAAGTTCTCCGCAGAGAGGAGATGCAGTTCATCAAAGTAGTGATTTTCACTCAAGTGAAGCAAGAATGTGTGGTGGGTAGATGTGTCCATCTTAAGTAAATTTTTTATATTGGCGACGCCTTCCCTGTCTTACTGAGTCATTGATTGATTGATTGCAGTACTAGGGCTTAAACACGGTGCTTCATGTGTGCTTCCTGTATGCTAAGCAAGCACTCTCCTCTAAACTACATCTCACACTGAGGCCTGGGCCGGCCTTGAACTTGCATTGATCCTCCTGCCCTGGTCTCTCTAATGCTGGGGTGGCAGATATGAGCAAGCGTGCCCCGCTTCATTATCTTTCAGATGTTATCGCTGTGTGAATTTATATGTAGAAGAGCACACCTATCACTCATACACAACTGAGATAATGCACGATGTCAGGCACAGTGCTGGATGCTTGGACAGCGTGCTCTTACATATCACACAGCCTGAGAGTTTGTTTCTGTTTTGTTTTTGTTTTTCAAGACAGGGTTCCTCTGTGTGGCCTTGGCTGTCCTGAATTCATTTTGTAGACTGGCCTCTACCTCACAGAGATCTGCCTGCGTCTGCCTCCCCAGTGCTGGGATTACACCTGTGCGCCACCATGCCCGGCTCATTTTCAACAGCTGAACATTCCACATAAACCCTAACTAATACCCAGTTCGGCAGGCTACCAGAATACCTTAGTCACTCGTCCATCTCAGAGTCACCACTGTTGGCACTCTACCATTGGTCCCTTGCTGTTCGAGAGAGGGGAGGATTGGCCGCTCGGAGCCCTTAGGCATACCAAGCTCACAGGTGTCTGTGTCTCTTAAAGTGCTTCAGTGTTTCCATTTAACCCATCCCCACGCTCATGTGATTTTAAAGCTTACACTACTTGGCCCTACCCAAGCACAAAAGTGCATGCACACCTAAACACAGGTACTTGCGTGTGTACACACAGAAATCTAAAGCATCTGCAGAGGTTGCCGTGCGTCTGACATTTTGCACTAATACCATCTCACTTTCACAATCCTCCTAGTTACGTGTGCCGAGGTTCTGAGGCATTTGAGTGATTTTCCCCCCTCCAGGATTTTAAAGCTGTGGGGGGATTATATTAGAGTTGAATGCAGGCCTCCATGCTTCCAAAGCCCTGTAGCCTAGAACTGACTCGAGCGCTGTCAAGGACTTGCCAACAGCACTGCGTACAGTGTCAAAGCCCATAAGGGAGACATGCAGGAAACTGGCTTAAATGGTCCTCTTCCAGTAAAGAGTCCTGGAGACAGCCCACGCACTGGAAGAAGGGTTTGCTTTGGCTCAGTTTCAGGCATCCCCATGGCCTTTGGGCCCAAATGAGGCAGAATTTCGTGGCAGAGAGCATATGATGGAGTCGGATGCTGACCGTATGGGACAGCCTGTAAGCAAAGAATGAGAACCATCTCTAACAACCAAATTTCCTCCCACCAAACTCCACCTTTTAAGGGTTCTAGCTCTTCCCAGTAGTGGCACAGACTGACGACAAAGTTTTAATACATTGGGCCACTTACTGAAACCATACCAACAGTCAACTGTAATGAGCACAGTGAAGGTTGGACAGCAAAGAGAGCGTTCCCTGGGATGAGGCAGCCTAATTCCTGGTCAGGGTCTGACTTGGTAGATACATCTGTGGATGTTTAGGGTAAAAACTTCATTATTGTACATTTTCAACTATGTTTTATGAATTTTTTCACAACTTCATCCATGTGCACAATGGCTCTTGAGTGTGTCCACCCTCAATTCACACACTTCTAGGCCCTTTGGAGTTCCCCTCCCCATTCGCACTCTCTGTCTCCCTACGCCTTCCCTGTTTCCTAACCTAATGAGTCATATTAGTGCCACCAGCTGGAATGCTGGCAGATCTTGTTAGCGTGACTGGCCTGCAGTTAGTCCAGGTCTCTCCAGGAGCATCCCATAGCACCCCTCCCCATCCTCGTTCCTTCCGTCCCTTTCAGCACGTTCATTGAGCTGTGGAGGGAACATTAGGTTTTAACAGTATAGCTGTGATTCTGTTGTTAAAATGTCAAAGTGTTCTGTTGAAGCCATGTTGATGTCTGTAGTCCAGGCTGCCTCCCAGGGCTTTGCCTGGGTCGGGGGCCATGTCTATGGTCTGTTCTGTCAGCAGAAGCCGTGTAAAAGCCCATGGTCTGTGCTCCCACTGACCATAAAGAGCAAGGAAGCCACTTCTGTAGGGACATAGATGACTGCAGATGAATAGTTGAGAAAGAGGGACATGGAAGGCTCCTGTGACAACCCCCACCCCACCCCCAAAGTAGCAGCCTAAACAGGAAGCCATTGAAGAGAACTCTTAGTGTGATAAGGTTGCTGAAGCTAGGTCTCCACAACTGATGGCCTCTGGTGGGGTGAGGGGAACGGCTCGGTTCTATTTAAGGGGCAGGTCACCGAAAGTCTAACCATGCTCCAGTGAGTATATAGATAACACAAATTGTTCTCTTTTTTGGGGGGGAGGTAGGAGAGATTTGCCTGGCCTCTAACTCACAGAGATCCACTTGCCTCTGCCTCCCGAGTGCTGGGATTAAAGGCGTGCACCACCAGCAGCGGCTAATATTTTTCTTTTTCTTTTTTGGGAGGAGAGGTCACAAAGGTGGGGGTGGGCATGGAACAACTGGGGAATTTGTGTGATGGATGCATGATGTGAAATTCCTACAAAAATCAGTAAAAATACTATGTTGAAAAATAAAATAATAATGAAGAAATGTTTACTGAGTATTGCCAGGCATAGGGGTACATGTGTTTAACCCTAGCACTTAGGTGGCAGAAGCAGGTGGATCTCTGCACATTTGAGGCCAGATTGGTCCACAGAGTGGGCTCCAGGACAAGCAGAATTACATAGTGAGACTCTGTCTCAGAAAAAACCCACATAAAAATGCTTTCTGCTGAGTGCTGCATGTAGCACATGGAGACTCTCTTAAAGAAGTGTTCCATATTATCCAGTTCTCACGGGATGGTTTAGTGAAAACAGTCAGGAAGACAGTCTGGGACGGATAGGGTGGTAGTTATTGGAATGTACAGTGGGTGTGAAGACGAGGTGGGAGAGGGTGAGAGTGCTCAGAAGGCAAGCCTCAGAACTGGCTTGGCACAGCACCTGACACAGATGGCAAGGGCTTACTTAGGCAGTAGGGTAGGAGAGAACTGGCCTTTCTTACCCAGGGAAGACAGGACCAGAGGTGCAGATGTTGAGATAAGGATTCAAAATAGGCTCTAGGCCACACAGCTAACCCCACACTTGCTCTTTCTGTCCTGAGACAGAATGGCACTACAGTGGGGAGGAAGGCAGATGCCTCAAAACTGTCAAAAGAGGACATACAGGCCCTCTGTATGTAGTATGTATGCATGCATGTATGTATGCATGTATATATGCATGTATGTATGTATTTGTGTCTGTCTTATCATGAGGCATTTAAGTGGTTGTCCCCTGGATGAAGAGATCATACTAGAACTCAAAACCAGTCCCTAGTGTCCAAACCTTCCAGAACTAGAGCACTGGCAAAGGCTTGTCAGCAGTACAGGTCAGTGTGCGAGGTCAAAGGAGACACTGGGAAGGCAGCTCCCATGTTTCTCTTCTCACCTCCATGGTCCTCCTCTAAATTCTTAGAGCATTTTTCTTTCTTACACACACACCTTCGTATTTTGTATAGAATTTCAAAATGAACCAAGAAACCCAGGTGTTGGGTTGAGTGTGAGAAATCAGAGCGAGGCGGCTCTCAGACACGGGGGAATGTTAAGGCAGACCAGTAAAGGCGGGGTTGTCAAGAATGTCTCCAGGCTGCTTCACATCCTGTGGAATGGATGCTATGCCCTAAACAAAATGGAAAGAAAGGCCGTTTGGACCCCAAATCAAGGAAGCAGCATCTAAGTCTATTGCAAAATCAACCTTGGCTGTGGAAATTCCTGGGTTTTCAGAACTCTTGAGGTTAGGGATGGTTTTTCAGCCTCAAAGAATTTTCCAACCACAAAGCAAACCAGAAGGGGCGTGTCAGGCTGTAATTCCAATTTCTGTCTCTTGTGAGGTGATTGGTCTGTCCACTCTATGAGTTCAAGCATAGCCAGGAGGCCAGGCCAGCTCTCAGGCTTCAGATGGGAGTCACTGGTCTTTGTCTCCTGGGAATGTCATAAGTCTTTTATAAAAGGGCAGGGTTTGCAGGTCTTGGAATTTTTAAAAATATATTTTAATATTTAATATTTTAATATTTTCCTGTACAGTTATTGTTTCTTGTGTTTTGATTAGTCACCAGCATTTAGAAATTGGGTGACTTCCTTCTACAAATCCAGATTTCCATTCTCCTTTGAAAATGGTGAGCAGCCGTGAGTTTGTGTTGGGTTTGAGCCCGCACATGGCAGCAGCTGCTGGAGCAGACAGACTGGAAAATGCTCTCTGATGACCACGGTCTGCCTTCCTGGCAGGGCAGCATCTTAACTCATCAAACCAGGTCATCTAAAGTAGGGTTTCTGGGCTGGCAAGATAGCTCAGTGGGCAAAGGTGTCTGCCCCTAAACACAATGATGTAAGCTGGATCAAACTCCACAGACTGCCCTCCAACTTTCACACACATGCACTCACATTCACACATACAAAAAAAAAAAAAAAAAAAAAAAATAGATGCATGAATGTAAAAAATAAAAATGCCAGATTTTCCGCTCTTGACACTATTGGTATGTGGGGAGAGGTTATTCCTGGCTGTGGGGGTACTGTTCTGTGCCTCCTTAGACCTCCACCCTATATGCTGGCAGCACCCTCATTTGTAATGGAATGTCTTTAAGGCATTGGAACGTGTTCCCTGGGAGGCAGAAGCACCAGTCTCAAGGCTCCTGGAAGTGGGCGGAGAGAATGTTATCTGAACAAGATCCTAAGGAATTTGCTCATCTCCTGAGATTAGAAATTTGAATCAAGTCTTGGCCGCATCTCCCGGGCAGCCTGGGGATGGCTTCGAAGGTGGCTCTGTGTGGTAGGCAGAGGTGTGAACGCCCCCCTCTCTCCTGCCCCCAGGTGTGGAAGTGGGGGTCAGGCACCCTTACTTCTTTGAGTGTATCGTTACATGCTGGCTGGTGATTCAGCCTTCCAGAGACAGTACCCGAGAGCAGTCATCCACCCACATACTCAGGATGTCAGAGTTCACAGTCTTTAATTAAAATCAGCAGGCTCATGTAGCCAATCGCCTTGTTTTTCATGATAAAAAGTCTATCTCAAGCTCAATAACTGTTTGAATTTATATATAATTCATTTTTAATTAACACAATTTTATACTTTACATTGATTCATTCTATTTAAAAACTTAAGCAAAGGGGCTTCAGCACATGCAAAAGAGAAACCTTGCCTGTGAGCAGTCTCCCTGCTGAATAGGATTATCTGTGGCACCACCCCTCAGAATTTTACAGATTCTGAGGGGAGCACTCTGCTTTGGATCACGTGTACGGCTGTGGGGAATGACCGTGGTGCATCTGCTTCCTTCTGAGGAGTCCATGACAAAGCCTTGCCTTTGTCCATCGTTCATTGGGCCTGCCCTCCTTCCATCATAGGTGGCCAGCCATGACAGCTGCCCACATGTGATCCCAATACAAACCTCATGAACACCAAGGATCTTTAGAAATGATTGCAAAGAGCTAGATACACACCCACATACCCCAATCAATACTCAAGAGACTGAGGCAGGAGGATTGTAAGCTTGAGACCAGCTTGTGATACTTAGTGAGGGCCAGAATAAAGAAAAAGATCTTCAGTTATCTTTGAATGAAGATACTCTGTTCCTCTGATTTTTAGGGGCCCTTCCTGGAGACTGCTCAAGCCTTGGAAGACAGAAAAATGAATTTAGGAGCCAAGGGAAAATAGCCTAATATTCTCTAAATCCCTTTAGGGCTGACTACAGTGAATGAAACACACCAGTTTCCTGTTTGAATTAAATGTTGGCATCTCATCATTCAGGACTGGGGAGGTAGCTCAGTTGGTGCAGTGCCTGCTCAGGTTGTGTAAAACCCTGGCTCCACCCCCAGGACCACACAAACTGGGTGTGGTGTATTCTTGACTACAGAGTGAGTTTAACTTCGAGCCACCTAAGGCCCGAAGGTTTATTTCTTTTCATTCTCATACTGAAAGTACAGAGTGGTACAAATTGTCAAAGCGTGTCATACTTTATATGAGACTGTGAATTTCATTCCACGAGGGAACGAGATGTTAGGGAAATACATCCTAGTAAGGTAGAAGGGTGTAAAAACCAAGTAGCTGGAATACAGATGGGAGATGGGGAGCCCATTTAACCGTCTGGGCGCTCACATTGTGTGCTGGGTTTGCGTCTGAGGAAAAATACAGTCTGTCTGGTGGTTCAGTAGGAATTAAGCAGGCCACCACCATAATAGATGTAAGGTGAAACAAGGCCTTTGATCCCCAGCAGGAAGGAAGACTGCTGGAGGGCACTAAAATAGCGTCCTTGGGATGAGTGTGTGCTCTGCAGCCTGAGGTCTGTGCCTCCACCCGGTGAAGTGTGTTCCTTTCAGGAATGATGCGGATTACAGGGTTTGCAAACAGCTCAGTCAAGGTCCAACTTAAATAGTTGTAATGCTATTAAGACTCCGGGACCCCATGTGAGTCCTGCTGTCTAGAAAACAACATCAAAGCTCACCCCTTGGCTCGCCTCACAGTTTCATTTCACCATTCGCCAAGCTCCTCGGGTGCTTCATGAAGTCCCACTGCCAAAGGGATGAATGCGAGCTTATTAGACTCGGGATTGTTTCCTGGGCTGTGGAGGACAGCTGGCAGAGGGCCAGCCCGGTCCCTTCCCGGTGATTAAGGAGGATTAGTGAGAAGGGTTTAAAGTGAATTGTCCCACAGCAGAGCTCCTTGCAGCCCTCCTCTCGGGTTGCTGTGTGCTTGCCCAGCGACAGGAGGTAACGTGTGTGCTCTTGAACGGAAGCTGGGAAATGGGGCTTTCAAGGAGAGCGCGTGGAAGCACAGAATGGCTTCCCTCCACCCCATTCTTTACCAAAGAGAACAGGTGACAGGGCCTCCCCCATCGTCACACACTGGTATTTTAGGTCTGGTCTTTTGAAACGTGGGCCGTGACGGTGCCTCACTGAAGCAGTCCTACGGCAGTGACTGCACGTTTTCCTAAGTGTACAATATATGGTTCACAAGACGCCATTTCCAGCTACATTCCTGTGAGTTAAGGAGAAGCGATTGATTTCTTTTTTTTCTTCTTCGGACAGAGACTGGGTAGCCAGCCTGCTACTCCTGAGGCAGAGATTGCTGCTCCAGGAACTCATCTGCTTAGAGAATAGCCGTGTAGCCAGTCCACAATAGGCCAATCATGGCAGGGGGCCGTTCAAATATGTTATTCCTAAGCCGTGTATACCCTGTTAGTTGTGGTCAGATCCTATGGACTAGGTAGGGAGATGAAGGCTGAAGAGATCTGAACTCATGGCTGAGAGAGTCTGAGTTTATTTCTTTTCATTCTCATACGGAAAGTACAGAGTGGTACAAATTGACTGTATGTCAGCATCACCCATATAGGTGTTCAGTGGGAAAGTAATGTGTGTGTTTCTCATATTCAGCATTCCAGACACATTATAAATACAAAGGCACCAGTGTTGAGTATATGAGTGCTGAGCTTGCAGAAGAGAACTGGGGTACCGGGCAGGTAGATACGGAGCGGGGGAAGAAAGAACGGGTTTGATTGAACAAGCCTTTCACTGACAGGGACCCACCATTGTAACCCTGTAGCAGTGACCCAGCCCAGTCCCAGAAGAACACCGGACACCAGGCTGTATGCTGAGAAGTTTAAATAGGAGGTGGAGAGACCTCTGGGTGTATTACACTTTAGGCATGTTAAAATATCCACGATCCTCTCCCCGGCTGCAGTTCTCATGTCTTCATTTTCAAATCACCTATTACATTGGTTTCTGTGCTGCTGGGAAATTCATGACTCCCATCTACATGCTCACCTTTAAATGTTCTGTTAGTCTAAATTAGAAGCCACACCCTTAATTGTAAGGTTGTGTCTGTAATACAGTTTCATAGCCCAGAAGCACCCATGGAACAATGGGAAGTCCTTCCCTGCTTCCTCCTCTCTTTTTCCTTCAGAGTGTTAACCTGGTCAGAGCAAGTGGGACACACACGCCATCCCCTGAGGAGGTCTCCCAGATCCCCTACCTCCCACCCCGTGACTGACGTTTTCTCTTGAGTGCTGCGATGGTTCCTGGGCTACACGTGGAACCAGACTTGCCTGGGCTAGCTGTGGTAGAGTAGCTCTCCCCTGTTGTTTATGGGTGCCAGGCAGCTTGGCTAGCCGCAGGGTGTGGAAAGTTGACCATATGCTACTGTTTGCAGCTTCCTGCTCGGTGGACTTGGTGAGGCCCTGCTGGTTTTCTCAGAGCGGAGAAGTTCCTGATGAAGATGGGCAAGAAAAGGAGAGCCATAGGAAGAACACACCACAGTGAGCCCAAGCCAGGGTCTCTGCTGGACAGAACCCATGACCTGTGCACACCCTGACTGAGCTACACTCACTGGTTGCTGATGATTTGAACACCCCTCTCTCTCATCGCTTAGAGAAGGATTTCCAGGGACCTTGCACTGCTGTAGAGAATGGGTCCATCTTACATTTCTTTTCATGCCGAACCATCCCTCTCTGCTGCACCAAATTCTTCAGAATCAGGAAGCAGAGGATTTCATTGTTGTTGTTTTCTTTCTTTTTGTTTGTTTGTTTGTTTGTTTGTTTTGAGACAGGGTTTCTCTGTGTAGCCTTGGCTGTCCTGGACTCCCTTTGTAGACCAGGCTGAACTCAGAGATCTGCCTGCCTCTGCCTCCTGAGTGCTGGAATTACAGGCATGCGTCACAGCATCTGGCTGAAGCAGAGGACCTTAGTGGGATGGCTGTGTGAGCTGGATGGACAACAGCCTCTGGACCTAACTGCCTCCTACCAGATACTGCTCAGTAATTGAGGTCACAGACCATGGCATCTTGTTACATTCAGGAGGTTGTTTTGTGTCTTTACATCTTGGAGTCTCTTATACGCCTTGATTTTTATGGTTCACCCTGGAGCCCATGCCCCCCCCACACACACAAAAAAAACAAGACACCTGTTCCTGAGGGTTCATGGAGGATAGGGCCGGAGGGGTGGGGGTGAGGGTGAGTTCCGGACCAGGTGAGCAGTAGTAGCCTTTGTGCTTGGTGTTGGTTTATTTCCAGCTTCTAAATTCCCCTTGGTTCTTGTGAATTTGTCAGGATGTGCTGAATTCTGTAGACTATTGACCACCACTAGGTTAAGCTTGTGACTAATCAGTTAATTATCTGAAGTCTTTTAAGCACTGTGTAGCCCGGATGGACCTTAAATGCCTCACCTTCTGCCTCCGCCTCCCGGGTGCTGGGATTGCAGGCATGTACTACCATTCTAAGCTTTTGTTCCCAAGTTATGTAGCATATGTCATTCCTTCATAAGTGATCTCAGGTCATTGAGCACTGGATTTGATCTCTTACACCAGATTAATAATTCAAGTCCCATAGCTTGCCGCTAGATAAGAAAACTACTTTATATATATAAAATAATCACTTGATTCTGAATCCACCAAGGCTTAAGAAAATAATACTGGATATTTCTTCCTATTGATTTCACAAATATTTGATTATTCTGGCAAGTCTGGGAGAGTTTGGGTCATATTGAGGTCACTTCTCCAACCCTGAAGTATAGGAGACCCTTGTCATTGCTAGAGACACTTTGGGCTCTGAGAATTACTTCTTGTCACAGGCTCAGTCCCAGGATGAATGAAGTCAGCTCCATTATTGCTGATTTTTCCCCCAACTTGTTGGTTAAAAAAAGGAAATGAAACAGTAGGATGGATTTATATATTTAGAATGTGGGGACCTTTAGTTCATGTCCTTTTCTGATCTCTGCTTATCATTTCAGGTGAAAATGTTCCAAGACTTCATGCTTATGTCGTTTTCAGTTTCCTTTCTTAGAACATTTTTACATGTAGTCTTTCTATTATTTTTATGCCTGTTACCCGTGAAGGTCAAAAGAGGCGTCAGATCCACAGAAGTGGAGTTATAGGCACTAGTAAGCCGCCATGAGCTGGACCTGTGTGCTCACAAGAGTTACATGTGCTCTTACCCACTGAGCCTGCAATTTGCTTTTTAAAGTATTTTTATTTTAAATTATGTGGATGTTTATACGTATGTGCATAATGGGTGCAGATGTCCCAAGTAGGCCAGAAGAGAATATTGGGCTCCTGGAGACGGAAGTCGAGGAGGTTGTGAGCTGCCCAGTGTGGGTGCTGGGGGAAAGTCCGGCCCTCTGCTAGAGCAGGACTCGCTCTTAACTGAGCGTGTCTCTTACTCTTGTTCTTCATCTGTTGTAACAAGCTAGTAACATAATAATATCCTGTAGCTCAAATAGAGAATCTAGGTTTAAACTTTTTCTTTTTTAAATTTTCACAGAACTCTATTGCCCCCTGCCCCCATTGTCCTTCAAAATGTCATTAAAGCGGGTGGAGAGTCCTCAGCTGGAAAGGACAGCACAGCTGCCTATCCCAGTCCCGTTTCTAACAGGATGAACCTCAGAAACCTTTACTGAAAAGTTTTAGAGACTTCTGTTGTTAAGATTACCAGTCTCTAGTGTTTTCGGTGTTACTATTATTTTTATAATCATGTTCCAGAGTTCCACTGTTTCTGAAGTCTCGGGTGTTTTTGTACTGTACTGGTAGGGCGAGGCCGAGGGCAGGGAGCACCCTCAGGGCACTAACCGGTGTCCTTCAGCTTCAGTCTGCAGGACACAGGTTGCTCTGGACTTCTTACCTTAAGGTGTGGCCACCGTCTTTATCCCCGTCCCCTTTTATCATGCTCAGCCCTGAATGTTCAGTGAATCCAGAGATGAAAGCAGGGGCTCCCCTATCATGGCAGCACCCCTAGAGTTCTGCTGTGAGGATCTCTGGGCCCAGTGCTCCAAGATGTCCACGGCCCTCACGTCTTCATGCCCATTTAGTTCCGAGCTCTTACTAGCTCCAGTTTATTTGTTTGGGCGGGGTCTCTGTTATGTAACCCTGGCTATCCTGCCGGAAGTGTAGGCCAGGCTAGCCTTGAACTAGCCTGCCTCTGCCTCCCCAGGGCTGGAATTAAAGGTGCGCACATGACCACGCCTGATTCCCGTTCCATTTCAAAACCAGGGTGCTTTTGCTTTTGTTTTTTACTTGCATATTCCTTCTTTCAAGAGAGGCAAGGTTCTGTGTGATTGTGTATTAAACTACACTTCTGTGGCTGTGAAAAATAAACCATTTATTTTCTTGGTAATTTGCCTCTCTTTTCCCCTTTTTCAGTCCCAGCAGGGGAGAGGTTGGTGGTGTGCCTGAGAGTTAGGGTTGTTGCTGCTGGTGTACTTTCAGGGTCTCCTGGTGTAGCCCAGGCTAGCTCTGAAGTCAAGCCTGTCTTCTTGCCTCAGTCTCCCAAATGCTAATACTTGAGCTCAGGCACAGGCCCCTCTCACCACTTTCAGGCCTTTTGGCTCACACCAGTTAAGGCCACAGTCCCTTTTAAATCTAGGCTGTTCTGTTCCTGCTGGCCACACATGGCAGTGGAACAGTCAATCACTGTTGACCAAATTTACACATGCCTGTGATCCCAGCCCTCATCGAGGCAGAGGCAGACCTCTGTGAGTTCAAAGCCAGCCTGGCCTACAAAGTGAGTTCAGGGCAGCCACGGTTACACATGGAAACCCTGTCTCGAAAAATAAAACAAAAAAGACAATATAAAAAGATTTAATATAAAAGTGTAAAATAGGTCTGGGTATGGTGGTGCATGCCTTTAATCCAAGCACTCAGAAGGCAGAGGCAGGGGGATCTCTGTAACTTGAAGCCAGCCTGGTCACATAGTTCCAAGCCAGCCAGGGCTATACAGTAAGACCCTGTGTCTAAGTATAGGGAAGGGAAGTAACTCAACTCATACAAATTTCTGCTTCTCTCAGGAAGTCCAGTGTGGTGAGTCCTCTGAGCACTCTAAGAGGACTAGAAACTGTCCCCATGACCTCCAGGCTCTGCTCTCACGGGGATATAACCACGAACAGCACACCCCCCACCACGTGCCCCCCAGTTTACTTTCTAGTGCCGGAGATTTGATGATGAAAGGATTCACAGTTTCAGAGGCAGCACAGACAGACACTGGAGGAGACAAGGGCTCTTCTGAGGTTCTGAAGGAAGGTGGGGAGCTTCGCAAACACAGTTGGGCCCGGGGTTTGTGGTCTCAGTCGGTCTGTTGGGCCTCTGTGGGTATGAAGACAAGGTAGCTTTGGGAGACACAGGATGAGCCTAACAATGCTTCCAGGTGGAATTACTGACCTCTCCACCACTCGCCCAGCTCAAGCAGTGGGTCAGTTCTCATTCTAGAGGAGGAGACAAGAGCACACTGGAGATGAGCCTGCGGGTCATGATGGTTAGGTGTCAGAGTGAATGCAGACCCGGAACATCCCTCCAGTAGCCAGCCCTCACCTTACGCTTGTTGCTCACTCATCCAGCATCTCACCTGTTCTTCCCAAGAGGCCTCCGAGTGGGGATCATCCTTAGACTCACTTTTTGGAGGACACAGACTCAGAGGAGGTAAGTTCCTGAGGTCCAGCTGGCTAGGATGGGTGTGAGGACTTGGTGGTGGGCTTTGCCCATGCAGCCGCCACCTCTGAGTTCCCATGGTATTCTGTGGTCCCCATGAGAGGAGTCCACCACAGGGAAGTTGAGTGATAGCCTGGGAATGCACCTGGAATGATCCTTGAGTAAGGATGGGGAAGTGTGTGTGTGTGTGTGTGTGTGTGTGTGTGTGTGTGTGTGTGTGTGTATGTGTGTGTGTGTGTGTGTACAGGAAACCTCCACAAGGTCAGCCACAACTAGGCCAAGATTCCAGAGTTGCCATGCTCCAGGTTGTTTCTGGGCCCTGTACTGCTGTGTTCTGAACAAGCCAGGGAAGGAAGCTGCTGACCCCGGCTCTGGCAGCCTGTGAGCATCTGCCGACCTCTGAACTGGGCAGCACACCATGGGGAGGGCCCAGCCCGTGTAGAGACACTTGAGGGCGGTCAGACATCCCCCGTCCCCAGGGAACTGGGGGTTCTGAGCTTTGCTGGGAGTTGGCTTCACTCTTCCTCTGGCAGTCTGACCAGGCACAGACTATCATAGTAGAACACATTGGCATACACATCCCCTTGTAGCTCACTCTGGCCTCAGCCAGGAAAGGCCTGAAGGACACTCCCACCCTGTCCCTTGGCAGCTCTAGGCCGAAGCTCATTTAGAAAATTGTCTGCGCCAGAAGGAACATTTGAGTCATTTATTTCCTGCTCTCTGAGAAGGGCTGGCAAAGGCTTTTGTGCCCATTTGTCTTCACACTGGGGACTCTGAGCCTCAGGGAGAGCCAGAGAAGCCCTTAAAGTTTCAGAGACCTAATCCAGGCGCTGTCCACCTGACAGGTTGATTTGCAGGCCGGAAGTGGCACTGTGTCGTTAAGAGGCTTCAAGTGGGAGCTAACAGCTGGTTTCTGTCCGAGCCTCACTCGGTCTCAGGTTCATCAGACCCATTGCTGCAGGCTTTTGTCATCAATGTGTGTTTTCTAGCGGGGCTAACCTGTTCTCCCTGGCTCTGGCTGAGGCTGGCTTTTCTGTACCACAGGGTTGTCCTTGGGAGGGCATCTCCCCTCCCTGGCAGAAACAGCTCTGGTGGCCTTCTGCGTGAGCAGTAATCTCTGTGGCTGTAGATGGAAGCCTCCTCGGGGAGGCTGAGCCTGTAAGACACAGACTGAGCTTCACCCTCAGGCCCCAAAGTGTTTTCATTTGAAGCATACAATTCGGTAGTTTCCAGTTGGTTTACAGAGCTTTACAACCACTGCCCTCCCCTAATGATACATTTGTTTACCCTGAGAAGAACTCCGGCTTGCATTATCCCCATCCCTCCCCACCTATGTGGATACCCCTAGTCTGAGGCCTCCTCCCACCGGGGCTGATAGACTATTTGGCCGGTTGCATTACACCAAGATTTTTAAAGTGATCATCTGTCACACCTGCTTTCTTTCTCTAGCCAGGTAGACTGGGTGGGAGAAGAGGCGCAGTTCTGAACCCGAGTTGTGGAAGCCGTGGGCGGCCCCTGAACTGGGTAGGTGAGCTTCGGACACAGCAGCCAGCGAGGGTGCTCTGCACGCTGCCAGGCCCTGGTGGCCAGTTTCGAGTTTTGCTTCCCCGCCAGTTCTGTGTTGTTCTTACAACTGTGGTAAAACCTGTTCAGCGGGGCCGGGATAGCCTTACACAGCCCTGGGTGTGGCTGCCCGTCTGTGGTGACGGTGACGAGAGACAGGGCAGAGGAGGTGTAGTGCCATTATCAGGTAGCAGCACGTAAGCATTTAGCTCCGTTCTGGGAGCCTTGAAGGTGCCGCTCGGTCACACCGCCTTGATCTGCGGACTGACTGCTTGTGAGCTGTCTGCTCTAAGGAGGGGACTTGCTTTGGGGGGAAGGCAGGCAGCCTTGGAAGAGTCATCATCCTGACATTTCAGGGTTGTATGTGCTTGGAATAAGAGGAAGCATTCGGGAGGCAGAGTCCGGGCTCCCTCTAGGAGCTGCTGCTTTCGGGGTTCCCAACCACCGCCTTGACCTTTCAGAGAAAGCTCGGTTAGGAATTGCACCCTGGAGGCTGGGAAGAGACCCAGTGGATAGCAGGTCTGTCTGCATGTTAGCCACTTTCCTTGTCATGGTGACAAAATACCAGATAAAAACAATGCAAAGGAGGAAGTATTTATTTTGGCTAATGGTTCTAGGGACTTGGGGTCAAGGTGGCTGGATTCCTTGCCCCCTCGAGTGCAGTGAAGCCAGTGCCGGGCCAGGAGACAGGGAACCGGAGGCTGTTCATCCTCACACTGATCTTGATGAAAGGGAGTCCGGCAGAGTAGAAAATGGAAGCGGAAGTGCAGCTCTCCACCCGTCCCTAATTTCCATTGGCTTTTGCAAGGTGGTGAACTGTGGCCTCACTCTCCGGGTTTGGCTAGCCCTGTAAATTAACCTGGCCGGCAACTGCAATGAAAGTGACATTTGCCATTTCGAATCTAGACCCCAAGTAGCAGTGTATAACTCCATGTGCTCTCTGTGACGTGGCTTAGAGCCTCCTTTTGAGCCAGCTATAGGGACTCCTCTCTGTTTTGATCAGACCTTAGCCTGCTGAACCAGTGGCTGAGTGCTTCACGCCTAACCATGCGCCCCGCATGCTTGATTTTTCACCTCCAGCTGCCTCTAATATCAAGCATTGAGTTCAGTCTCTCAGGTCTCCCTCTGCCTGCATTAGGCGGAGGGTGAGGGCCTTGTGGAGAGGAGCAGAACAGCCTTCCAAGCTGAGGTCAGCCTATCCCAGCCAGCTCTTAGCCGACTGTAGACCTGTGACTGGGCCTGGTCAAGGTAAGCTGAACTTCTGGCTGCCTCAGAGACTCATGGGAAATAAGATGTCTGCTAATTTAAACCACTAAGATTTAGGTGGTTTGAACTGTAGCATTCTGATCGGCAATACATGCCAGCAGGGTGAAGAAAGGGCAAGAACGGAGCAGGGGGACTTCTTTGCTTAGAGTTAGGTACAGAGCGGACACTGTGGTTTCCAAAACCCCGTGCACGCATGTGTGTGATCAGTGCTGGGTGGGGGGGGTGGTCAAAAACCCAGGGCATCCCACACACTAAACACACACCTCAACCAAGCTACGCAGTCTGCCAGCCTCTGTCTTTGGTGGCCAGCCCTGAAAAAAAGATATCAGAGGAGTGCATTTGCAACCAGCCCTTGTCACTCCCTCAGCCACTGGGCAGCAACCAAGAGGCAAGAGCTAACGCCGGGGCTGACTTCACAGTTTGTCCCAGCTGGGCAACAGCTATGTTCTACGGTCCAAATCATGCTAAGTGAACACATGTGAGGCCGAGCTGGAAACGGTGCCCTGAAGAGCTGACATGTCAGCACCCCAGCCCTGAGAGCTGCGATGTTCTGTGTGGAGCCCACCCCGCTGCCCCGTGCAGCCTCTCTGGCAGCTCGGCCTTTTATGTTTTAGTTGTTGTGACGTACTGGAGGTTGAATTCACAGTCTTGTACGTGCTAGGCAAAGTGTTCTGCCGCTAAGATCTAGCTCAGCCCTTTTTATTTTATTTTATTTTTACCGTTCGTTTTTATTGGTATTTACGCCCAGTGAGTGTTTTCGATGTGTGTAGGTGCCTGTGGAGGCCGGAAGAAGGTGTCAGATGCCCTGGAGCTGATGTTACAGGTGTCCGTATCAGTGAGAGCGTGGGGAACTGTCAAGTCCTG